CATATTGTGAAAATCTAGGGTTTTATTCAATGACAATAGTACACACTGTTCTCGACAAGCTTCTTGATGTCGTGGTCTCTAGTGCCACCTGGTGGTTTCAAGCACTCACATATCTTAAATACAGTAAAGACGGCTGTGCTTTTCTGCATATATGATTAAAGACCATTTCCACAACTGTTAATGCATGCTTTTGTCTATAGGAGGTGTAGGATGTTGGTGATGCAGTTGCTGAGGGGTGCAGTGAAGCATGCTGGGAGCGGTCCCCAGTTCAGTGTGGAGAGATTGATCTCAGCGGCGCGTGGCTTCAGCTCATCTTCACAACACTTATCAGATTTTGGGGGAACTCATCCTCCTCCCTGCACTGACACTGAACACCCCAAAATCCTCATCACTGGTTCGTTTACGCACTATAGCTTCTTTTCATTCGTTTGTTTTAATGTAGTTTTGCCTTACATTTCCTCCAACACAGTCACAGTGACAGTTGTCGAAGGTAATACATTTTTCCTTTTCTTTTCATCATTATAGGAGGGCTTGGTCAGCTCGGGGTGGGGCTTGCAAAGCTACTGAGGTAAGCATTTAACATGTCGTCCTATTTCAGTTGTTTGTCTTATTCCACGGGGAGCAACAACAAAATGAAGTGTCACCAGTGGCTGTTTGACAAATACAGAATTATCCGCGATGTGAAACAGTTATTATAAATGTTGAATCATTAAAAAACATCAATTTTCTGTTCTTTATTTTAGTCCTTTTCCAAAACTGACCATATTTATGTTTTTTCCTCAGGAGACGATTTGGAAAAAACAACGTTATCCTGTCCGACATTAGGAAACCCCCAAACCATGTCTACCATAATGGTGTGTATTATTATATAACCTACTTATATGTTCTTTTAGCAGGTACGCATTGTGTTTATGTGAATTTTAACCTTTAGGTAAATCTTTTCTTTAAGGGTTTGCATTCTCAGTCTGTACATGTGTACCTTAATCGTGACTCTCGGGGGTAAAAGGGTCTCCAGATGAGTTCAGAAACTGTACAAACAAGGGTCATTTTGGGTCCTCCACAGGTCCGTTCATCTTCTCCGACATCCTGGACTCTAAGAACCTCAGGGAGATCGTGGTGAACAACAACATCAGCTGGCTGATTCACTACTCTGCGGTGCTGTCCGCTGTGGGAGAGAACAACGTCGCGCTGGCCAAAGAGGTCAACATCACAGGTACATACAGATACATTACAGTCATATTTAAACAACCTGTGAAACTACTGAAGATAAGTCAGTTTTACAGATTCTAAAAGTGTGTTGCACCAGTATTTAGAGCCATCTTAAATCAGCCTCTCTCTCTTCGTAGGTCTCCATAACATATTAGACATAGCAACCGATCATGGTCTGCGTGTGTTTGTCCCCAGCACTATCGGTGCCTTCGGTCCATCCTCACCCAGAGACCCCACCCCCGAGCTGTGTGTGCAGAGACCCCGCACCATCTACGGCGTCTCCAAGGTCCACGCCGAGCTGATGGGTGAGGTGAGACGCAGATATACAGACACACAAAGATATATAAGTGTCCAAATATACACGTCCGCTTTACTTCCACAAATCCCAGGGTGTTTGTTTAAGCTTTGCCTCCCTCTCTTCTCAGTACTACCACCACAGGTATGGGCTGGATTTCCGCTGCCTCAGGTACCCGGGCGTCATCTCCGCTAACTCCAATCCTGGGGGAGGAACAACAGGTATGTAAAGCTTTAAAATAATGCATATGTGGAAAAGTGGAGTCATCTTTCATTCTAAAATGGAAAAAAAACAAATGTTTCCGCCCCTCTAAGTTTTGACATTTGCCAGTTTGTCTCTGTTATATAATATTAAAATGAGTATCCTTGAATTTCGACTGGCCTCATAATGGGAGGGACATTTTTCACTATTTGTATACGTTTTATAGACCAAACGATCAATAGATAATGAATATAAGCGTTAGTTGCAGCCCTAAGAATGCGATAAAGATGGTGGAAGTATCACTAACAGTTTAAACAGAGGAGATAAATTGTTGTATGGTGTTTTTGATTAATATTCATCTGTTCTTCCTTTTCCTAGACTATGCTGTGCAGATCTTCCACACTGCGGTGAAGACTGGTTGCTTTGAGTGCAACCTGCGCAGTGACACACTGCTCCCCATGATGTACATAGGTAACACCCGACTTTTAGACCTTTTGCAATAGTGTCAACATTTAAACTTCACAGGTGATGATTTATTTGTATTTTCTGCCCAGATGACTGTCTCAGGGCGACTCTGGAGTTCATGGAGGCTCCTGCAGACTCACTGCTCAGCCGCACGTATAACATCAGCGCGATGAGCTTCACGCCACATGACCTCGTCCAGGAGATGCAGAAAGTCCTGCCCGAACTCAAGGTCACCTACAATGTGGATCCTGTACTGCAGGCTATAGGTGAGACTCCTGGTATCTCTGTGCAATATAAATACCATTACGCAACGCAAACATTTCCCAAATTGGGATCAATAAAGTACCTATTGTATCTAATATCCATCTATCTATCTATCTATCTATCTATCTATCTATCTATCTATCTATCTATCTATCTATCTATCTATCCATCTATCTATCTATCTATCTATCTATCTATCTATCTATCTATCCATCTATCCATCTATCCATCTATCTATCCATTTATCTATCCATCCATCCATCTATCTATCCATTTATCTATCCATCCATCTATCTATCTATCTATCTATCTATCCATCTATCTATCTATCCATCTATCCATCTATCCATCTATCTATCCATGTATCTATCCATCCATCTATCTATCTATCTATCTATCTATCTATCTATCTATCCATCTATCCATCTATCTATCTATCTATCCATCTATCCATCTATCCATCTATCCATCTATCCATCTATCCATCTATCCATCTATCTATCCATTTATCTATCTATCCATCTATCTATCTATCTATCTATCTATCTATCTATCTATCTATCTATCCATCTATCTATCTATCTATCTACCATCATTACAAAACACTCGCTGCTATACAACATGTGCAATATCATTATTAATAATGTTCTATAATAATATGCAATTACGTATCTGCCACTATGTTTTTTTGCACTGTTAATATTTACATTAATCATGTGACCGTCTATGTTTCCTGTAGATATTGAATTGCTCTTTTTACTGCACAGTTAGTGTACAGTTTTATTATTATTATGCTGCTGTGTTTATTGTATTTTTGTAAGTCTGGCACAACAATTTCCTTCAGGATGAATAAAGTCCTATCTTATCTTATCTTAAGATCATAGGAGAATCATTTCTTCCTCGTCCTCACAGTTTTCTCTTGTGTGTCTTTTGTTAGCGGACGGCTGGCCGATGGTGTTAGAGGACATCGCAGCGAGGCGGGACTGGGGCTGGAAGCACGAGTTCGACCTATCAGAGCTGGTGCAGACCATGCTGACTCACATCACTACCTCAAACCAGCGTGCACAAGCAAACTGAGCCCTTTTCACTCCATGGAAAGCTTTATTTAAAAGTATTAAACACTGAAGGTTAAGAGAATGTTAATGATTACACGTTAAACAGCTCAAAACACAATAAGATCCAACAATTATCCTCGTCTCCATCCCTTCATTATCCATCAAGGCTAATGTTCATAATCTGATGCAAGACACTGCATACTATCGCTATGTTACTGAACTTTGAAGAGTTCTCTCTCTGAATGTACTGTATGTATTTATGGCATGTTGTATGTGTAAGTACACAGATGACTTTGCCTACTGTATTTGCATGTGTAGCAGCTAAATGACATTTGGGGGGCGATTCAGCCGTCCTGAAAACCAGTGGGCTTTGAGTAAGAGACACTCAAAGGCTTTACCTCGATACGTAAGAGATTCAAACCCTAGTGTTACTGTAGGGTTAGGTTACAGGGGCTTTAACCATAGTTGCCTATAGCATTATAAAACATGTGTGGGTTAAAGAAGAACAGCTACTTCACCCTTACACTAAGTGCTTTAAATATTATTTGTATTTTAATGATTTTTATTGTTGGTCTCAGTTTAGAAGCTTCAGCCTCGGAGCTGAATATTTATGAATGTTGATTTAATGAATGCATTAGCAGTCATTTACATTTTAAGGGAAGTAGGGCTCTTCAGTTTTGCAGCTATACTCTTAAGGATCTGTGAAAAACACGTGTAGCAAGAAGGGAGTGGGCTATAGAGCTCCATTTTGTTTGTTTTTTAATATTGATGTTATTTATAATGATATTCTTTGCAGCTGTTTCTGTCAAACCAAATGGGACGACCTTTTTCTTTTTTAAATAAACACTTCAATTCAACAACGTTGTTATGGCTTTTCCTTTGTAGCCAACTAGTGCACTCAGTCTATCGTCATGATATTTGGTAAATAACCTGTCTATGAATGCTTTCAAATGTCCACTAAAATAGTCCACAATGATAATTACATGTTCTCCTATACCAGGGGTCTCAAACTCAAGGCCCGGGGGCCAAATCCGGCCCGCGACTTCATTTTATGTGGCCCGGCAAGAGCTTGCAAAGAATATAATAAGTTTATTATACGGTTACATGCCACTTTACAGAAGCAGGTTGCTCATAAACTACATGTCCCACAATGCATCTCGTTTTGTGACATGCGCACTGAAGAGACTTGCAATTATTTGCCCTGGACTTCTGCTTTCAGACGTAGTTAATTACTAAGTTATTATCCTATCCGATAATAATCCAATTCAGAGGCAATAATGTAATATAATACATTATTTTATATATATTTATATAGTTACAACCGGCCCTTTGAGTGCAACCTTTATGCGAATGTGGCCCGCGATGAAATTGAGTTTGACACCCCTGTCCTATACAGTCAAATGAAGTGAATTAGAAAGTACGGGGCGAACAAAGCGTGGAAAATCCTAGAAATTAAACAATTTGCAGTGTTTTCTTTCTTCCAACTATCTTTACTCACTGAGGTCCAGTCCTCACAGTGCATTCCCAGAATCCTTCAGTCCTGCTTTTGCCTTTGCAGCTGAGTCTGGATGTAGTCTTTGTTTGTCTGCTGCCGCCTGCTGCAGTTTGAACTTCAGGATATCAACGAGCAGAGAGGCCTCTCGGTTCAGACTCTCCAGCATCTGGCCCTCTGTGGCCCTCACTGCTGCACGAACCAACGCCTGAACACCCTGCGGAAAACAGAGGAGAACAGGGCATGAAATATATTCCAAAAATGCTTTCCTTTGTTTTAAATCCCTCTGTGAGATCACCTCTTTGTCCAGTTGCACATCCTGAGGAATATCCACCTCCCCCAGAGTGACCCTTGACCCCTTTCGGAGACTCCTCAGCTTCTCCTCTTTCTGACGTAACATTGAAGTCAGCGCCTCTCGATGCCGCTGATGCTCCCAATCATGAAGATCTGTACCCTGGAGCACACATAAGGTTAGAGAGGGTTACTATCCGTTAGAATAACTGCGTTACTGTAAGGGAATACAGTAACCATTTTTGTTGTATCCTGATTACGTGATCCTGTTACATGAGATTCAAGGCTTTTATTGTCATTAGTACATAGTTAAGAGTGTAGATATATCAATGCACATCTTGGTTTTACCCTGATATGCAATCCATTTCTCCCAAATGTGTACTTAATCACAGATGCATGGTGATTATATCTGTGAGTCACTGATTAGAAAAAGGCTTCCTCACCTGAGCCAGAGGACAGGGTGTGGGCGGCACCTGCACCTCCAGGTGTAGCTGAGCGATGGACATGTTGGAGGCTCCACTCACAGCCGCCTGGAAGAGCCTCCGCCGGGCGGTGAGGGTGTGTGTGAGGAACTGGGTGAAGTCGTGTTGGTGGAGAGGGGTGAGGTTCGGCAAATACTCGGACAACTCATCTCTCAGCAGGGATAAGAGGTTGGGAACGTCGAGACCTGATGGATAGAAGACCGAAAAGTACAGAAGCTTGAAAATAATGATTCAGTTTTGCTAAATAATGACCTAGTATCTCAAATGAATGGAAAACAAATGACATTTATTTGGACCACCAGAAAAACATTTTTCATTATGACTTCTTTTGGGCTTGCATATTTATTTATATTATTTGTATTTATAGTCAATTTAATATTGAATAATCCATTTCTTGCACAATAATATCCTGCATTATATTTGTTACTGGGGATGTGCATTTCCACATGTATATTTTCCTCATGTATATATATATTTTTAACTTTGTAATGCTATTTTATTTCTATTTCAGAAATATTTTGGACTGTTGATTTCTAGCGTCTTAATTTCTCTTATGTACATTGCCGTTTTTTATGCTGCCAAATTGGGATCAATAAAGTACTTATCTATCTATCTGTCTGTCTGTCTGTCTGTCTGTCTGTCTGTCTGTCTGTCTGTCTGTCTGTCTGTCTGTCTATCTATCTATCTATCTATCTAACTATTTAATCAAACAAAGATACAATTCCCTGTGGCTTTAATACCGTTTTAATAAAAGGCACATAGGGAATGAATCACTAGAAATGACTCACTCGTACTCAAAGTGCTGTTCAAATCTCAAACTAGGTAAACATGTGTTTCCATGCACTTTAAAAGCTCTCAGGAAACAAACTGCTCTCTCTGATGTCCCCCCTTGATCCTGACCTCCAGGTGAAGCTCTGTGTTTGCTCTTACCCTCCAGACGAGGAAAGATGCCTTTTGCGATCACAGCTGCCCGGATCACGTCAGTCCAGGAGAAACCACGGCTCGCAGCAAACATGGCGACGTCAAACACAAACTCCTGATGGAAGAGGCGCCGCTCATCAGAGAACTCGAGCCATGAGAAGTGACGACTCAGCCTCTGCACACCAGCATCTCTCTGCACACACATTGATACACACAACCATCATTGATGCACTCATGCATAAGCATTGATTTCATGCTCATTATGGAGTTTAACTTTCATCAATTATTGGTCTTTGGGGTATGATTTACTCACAACACACACATTGTTTCTGCTGATAAAAGTGCAGCATTTCAGCAACTTGTTGTAGCTTTTTTAAGTTATTTATAGACATTTAAATCGTCCTACCTTATACAGGAATGCAGTTTATACAATGCATCAGGCATTAGGTCATTATTTAGTTGTGTATATTGATGTGGAATTAACTGTATAGTGTCAGATAAATATAGTGAATAGTGAGGAGAAGTTTAAAGTAGCATAACATGTCAATACTAAAGCATAGCTACAGTATAAAAACACCAAACATACAGTGAGTGAATTGCTAGTAAATGCAGACAGCATTTGAAGGCACCAGAATTACACATCTATCCGTTTTATTAATACAAAAAAATACAGATTTCTTCTACCTGGTGTCTCGCTATCTGCGATATTTCACTCTCTGTGAGAGACTCCATCATTGATAAGTGACACAGGCGCTGCATTTGGTTGCCATGGGAGAAGGACGCGTGGTTCGGGCGTGCGTAACTGTTTACGCGATTGCGTCACAAGCACGTACGACGCACGGGAGCTGATGGAATGTTTGGACAAGACGCTTATTAATTTATTTTTGTCATATTACAAAAATGGCAAAAATAAAAGTATGTTGAACTAACTAATGAGCTACAATAAATAGTCAGTTATAATCGTAATTAGTTCAGCAGATTCGGTTCATTCCGATGTTTAAAGTTTGTGCCGGGGTTTGATAGGGAACACTGTACCGGGTCTGTCATGTAACTCGGTTTATTAACCCGAGCTACAGATGGCTCAGGTTAATCCTCTTTAAGAAGAAGGAATATGTTGAAAGCAAGAACACTGTGTCCTTAAGATTAACTGAAATCTTGTGTTGCTCAAGGTTTTGTTTCTACAAAACCTTTTTCTTATAAAAGCAACAAATCAAAAAACTGTTTTACAGGATTGTTCTCTGTATGTTCGTCCCTCAAGCGTTCACATCTCTCCTGCAGGTGTTCAGGGACACTGCATTGTTGTCGCTTCACCAGCAATACGCCATTTCCGCTTATGTTTATAACAATAACATAACATTTACTATATTGATCCCGATTTAGGACATTTATTCGTCACAGCAACAGGTTAAAACAAGGCATTGCACACATAATTTCATCAATATCTCAGTATTACGTCTTTTATTTTGAGTAGGAGATTCCATATATATGCAGTAGGCTTATATAAATTGTTTTGGTATGTAAATATTATGCCATTATTTTGAAAGTCTAAATCAGTGTATTTCCGGTCCCTAAGCTGCTGACTTGACGCTGAACATGCGTCTCTTTCCAAGATCTGCGATGTGTGTGACGGAGCGATCACTGCTGCTTTAATATCTTATATCTAAATGGGTTTTTTCTGCATCTACAATCGGCTATTCGTCCTCCATCATCCCTGCTGTCGGTATGAATCAATAAAGGTAAGATTGGTCTGATTTATTTCCCCTAAACTCCTGTTGCTTAACTAATAAAATGTGCATTAAACTCCAAATATGGTGCATGTGTTCTAGTGCAAGTGTGCATGTTGTTGGATGTGTTTTCACTTCTGCAGGGGCGTGCACTGACATTTTATTAAAAGGGTCTGTTGGCTAAACTCCCCCTAGCACCATATCATGTACCTGAATTCTGTAAAATGTGGTAATTAAACTACCACAAATCCATTTTCATATGTGTTAATTGTTTACAAATTTAAATATTAATCAAATAAAAATACTGCACACTTATTGTGTAAGTAAATTAATGTCCAAAGTAAGCTAGGTTATTTTGAAAATGCACATTTTACTGCATTTAATGTCATTTTTTGTATTTTTATAATAGTCTGTCAAGTGTCCACATCTGCTTTACACATGTGGAGATTTGTATAGATCAACACATTCTTTATAACATGCATTATTAAGCATTGCCAATCATATTTATGTACCTAAAACATCAAATATAAACAATCCTTTTGTCTTGAAAGGTCAGCAAAAGTGGTAAAAATCTGGTGCTCAGACATAGCCAGTCTTTATCATATCTGTAACCCTTCTTGGTGTGTTTTGGACTTCATATGGTTGTGTGTGATGCAGTTGTTGGGCAGTGGTGTGTTTATTGGATGAGTGAAAGAGAGCAGGAGGGGTTAATTAGGTTAAAGAGGAGTGAGCAGATCTCCTAAAGTAGTCCACACATCATATAACCTCTGCTTTGCAAACTGAACCAATTACACCTCAGCTCTGACACACTCACACTTTTACAGCAGTGATGATTTCCCTTGATTTATCCACAAGGAATACTCATTAGTATTCCCTCGCTGCTGTCAGCACAGGAACTACTCATCCCTGACTCCCTGTCTAACCAGAGGTCTCCAAAGGATCCACCTACTCTTTTCCTGTCGCTCATCAAAGCTGTGAAATGCAGGGTTGTATACATGTGAATTGTGCAAGGATGTGTTCGGAAAAATAGACGGTGTGAACTGCCCTTGCACTTAAAAGCACAATGCAGTGTCCCTGAACACCTGCAGGAGAGATGTGAACGCTTGAGGGACGAACATACAGAGACAAATCCTGTAAAACTGTTTTTTGATTTGTTGCTTTCATAAGAAAAAGGTTTTGTACAACCTGAGTCTTATCTTGTAGAAACAAAACCTTGAGCAACACAAGATTTCAGTTAATCGTAAGGACACATTGTTCTTGCTTTCAACATAGAGCCTAACTATTTCCTTCTTTTTAAATATATGACTTCTGGCATTATCAATATGTTCAAATTCAAAATGGATCAAATAACAAGTTGGAAGATGCCCTTTTTGCATTTCTACCAGTTTCATCTTATTGTTTTGATTTTACAGCCTGCAACTTTACAGTTGTGGCTCACTCTCATCAGCATCATTCACAGGTGCCATCTTTAATGTAGTCCACATGTTACAACATACAGCCAGAATTCCAACTGAACAACCAAATATAGCCTTAAATATTTTACTGTTTGTTCAAGTGTTAACAAAGGTGTAAATTAGATGGCGTCAAGACAAAAATATAGTGAAAACATGACGTTAACGTGCTTTTAACTCGTGATAATGTGGTTCCGATCATTGATTTTCCCTCACCGCTGCAACAACGTTAATAACTAGTTTGCCCCGACACGGTTCAATAGGAGCAGTTGGTGTTTTCAGTGATTCCCAAACAGGAGACCCCCTGCTGTCAGACAGATTGACTGTAATTACAATCCTCTCCAAACACAGCAGTATGTGTGTGTGTGTGTGTGTGTGTGTGTGTGTGTGTGTGTGTGTGTGTGTGTGTGTGTGTGTGTGTGTGTGTGTGTGTGTGTCAATGGTTTTATAGGTTTTGAGTTCAGTCCCTCTTGCCTTCTATTGTTCTCTGTCTCTTGTTTTGTCTTCCTCAAACACACACACACACACACACAAACATACATACACACACACACACACGTGCTTGGGAAGGATTGCATCTACAAAGTATTTGAAGAAGACAAAATAAGAGACAGAGGGAGTCATATTTACTGAAAACCTATAAAGTTGTTGACACACACACACACACACACCGACACACACACACACACACACACACACACACACACACACACACACACACACACACACACACACACACACACACACACACACACAAATATAATTTAAACTGTAATAGTAAGTAATTATGACAAATTGTGCTCTCCTAACCACTTGACTGAAAGATCAAAGTTGCAAATTGCCTCATCAGGTCAGCTACATAAGATTGTCTTGGCTTCACCATAGCAACACCTTACCTTCTCTCTCTCTCACACACACACACACACACACACACACACACACACACACACACACACACACACACACACACACACACACACACACACACACACACACACACACACACACACACACACACACACACACACACACACACACACACACACACACACACACACACACACACACACACACACACACACACAGGTCCTTAAGCAGGCTTTTCGTCCTATCCTTAGCCTCCCTCCCCTCTTCTCCTCATCTCCTCCTCCCGCCATCCTTCCCTCCCCCCCTCTGTGCACCTGATTACCGCCTGCCATTTTACTGGGGGCTCTGCTATCTTAGTGTGTGACTCAACCTGCAAAGGTAGCCGTCACACACACACACGCACGCACGCACACACACACACACACACACACACACAAAGCCACATAGTGCTGACTCCCGGTGTGTCCCGGCACGGAAATATTCTCCAGCTTTTTCTCGTCTCTTTGGACAATGTTTCCTGAAAATGTGAGTAGTGTTTGGAGAGATGGATATATGTGGAAGAACAGTTGTGATGTAAGGATTAAAACAATTGGTAAAAAGTGGTTAAATGGTTATTTAGGTACAAAAACAGAAGTACAATTCAATGGTAAAATCATGTTTGGTGTTTTACTTGACCATCTTAAAACAAGTCCTAACTTGTTGCTATTTTGCTCATGTTATAATGTCTTGATAAGATATCTAATGTTACTATATACTAAACAATTTCATTTGTTGTTCCTTCATTCAATGTAAACTGGGCTAATACAACTGTAATGTAATACCCTTGAAATGAATGTGTGTTTTCAGACGGGGAAAAGGATTGAAAACAGTGTTCATAATTTGGTCAGGCGTATTTGTGTCTAATTGCATTCTCTCTCATGACTGTTTCCGTGGTTTGTCGTTATAATTTGATTGGTTTCACCTTGGAAACCATTTATTTGCAGTCATTGAGGAATCATGGTTGATGGTTGAGGATATTTTAGGAATAAAGACACGGAGCTGAAGAGGGATTATGTCGCACCTCGTCACGTTGAGCGTCTGAAGATAAGAGCAGTCTAGCCTCATGGAACTTTAAAAGCCTGCTAAGCCTCCTGAAAATATTAAACTTTTTAAAAATGTGTTATTGAAGGTCATCACCGTCATGATTAACATTATCAGTTTAGTTTAAATGCAATGTGTCACACTGATGGATTTATCTTGCACTTGTTGCTGCTGTCAGGATAATGTTTTTTGCTTCTTATAGAAAATAGAAAAGGATAAGAAATGTTATCACTCTGTAAATCAGGAGATATTGAGCTTATGATCAATCTAAAAATTATGATTCTGGTTTCGTACATTATGCAAGCTGAGGTTCATGTCCTCATGTCGACTGTTTAGAAGCGGGACAAGACGTTGTTACATCCGTTTTAAATAGGATTTCTAAAGGTGTGCTAGGTCCACTATATATAGCAGGCTGTGGGAAGCTCTCTAATTAACACTTAAATAGATGTGCATGTAGCTCATGTTATATTATGGGACTATTTTCTGTGGAAAATTGATGCCACTTCATAGTTTCTTTGCCCAGAATAAAGAGAATTAGAAGGCAATTTTCAGGCATGATTAAACAATCAAGATTTGTCTGGGAACAAAAAACTTACCACTGGTTTGATTT